GTGATTCTGTGATCGACACAAGAAATATACCACATGTAGTGTATGCAAAAACAACTACAACGCCTGTGAATCCTTTTGATACACAAAATAATGATACTATAAACAGTCTGCCCATGGTGGTAGGACAAAATAATAGCATTCTATATCCATTGTAGTAGAGTCCATTGAGGCAAAAATATCATTGATCTGCCTATTGTGGTAGAGCCCATTCAAGGCAAAAACTATACATCTGCCCATTGTGCCAATGTGGTAGAGCCCATTGAGGCAAAAACTATAGATCTGCCCATTGTGGTAGAGGCCATTGAGACAAAAACTATATATCTGTCCATTGTGGTATCTAGTGCCCATTGAGGCAAAAACCATTGATCTGCCTGTGGTCTAGCCCATTGAGGCACCAACTATCAGCGATCTGCCCCAGAGAATCGATAATAGCAGGCAGATATTCATATATTCGTGTTCACAGACTGTAAAAACAATCGACTTCAAAAGAAATTAATTGGGCAGAACACGAATATATGAATATCTGCCCTCCCCCCAATTATCGATATTCCGGCGCCTCTGATCTGCCCATTGCGATGGAGCCCATTGAGGCACCAACTATCAGACTAGGGGTCAGCCAGGGGGGGGGGGTCGTAGTATCCTAAAGAGCTGATAAATATGGATCAAAATACCTATTATTATGGTCAAAATGTTACATAATACCTAAAGCAATCAGAAGCTGTATACCAGACCTAATACCCAAAATTAGTAATAACATTTAAAGTAAATATACAGTATACTCGAATTAAATACCATTGGACCCTATATACAGTACACAAAACCCTACGGCCGACCCTACAGAATGCTCTGCCCATTGTGGTGGAGCCCATTGAGGCACCAACTATCAGTGATCTGCCATTATGTGCAAAGGCAATGAGTTTGTAGTGTTCCATTTCTAGATGTTTATAGCTTTAAACAAATGTTGTCTGCACATATATTGACTTACAGCAATTACATGTAATATTACTAACATTTTAACTGACTTTTGTATAAGATCTGAGATATGTCCATTGTTAGCATAATATGAAATAATTCTAGTGGCCTACATATGGCTGTGTCACTACGATAATGCTCACAATTTCTTTCTTATTATATATTTTTGCAGTTCTGACTGAGTACAATCTTAATCATGTCAATGAATGGTGTCATCTGAAGCATATTAAACAGAAATGTCAACAAATACATTTTGTCTACCCATCGGCAGATTGTTCGGTTGGTCTGTGATAGGGGAAGCCATGAAGGTGGCATTACATGTAAAACGATAATTGGAACAAAAACCGACTTTATAGTATTTTTATATAAACATTGTTCTGTATTCAGTGGCAAACTCACACATGTGATCACCAAGTTTATACTTTATAGTGCACTTTTTATAAGATGAGATGTAAGATACAATCAGGGATGCCGGAACTGGGGGGGGCAGGAAGGGCAGCCGCCCCCAGTTGCCCTTTATCAGGAGGGGCAAGGGGGGCAAAGGTGTCCTTTCAATTTAAAGGATTGCCTTGGCAAAATAGCGAATTGTCAGAAATGTTAGTGCAATTCTTTTACTAATTTGCTTCAGAAAACGCAAGAAATACAGTCATCGAGCTTCAAGAATAGCACAATCGCCTGGCAGAGAACTCCCTCACACCCCTATCATCCAATCAATAGAAAACATGATTAGGTGAAGTTCAACTCCCAATGTTTTGCAAACATCTCTTAGTACATATCAATTCAAAAGTGCCCTTTCACGAAAATCTGCCACCCTTGCCTTCACATCGTTCCGGTGTCCCTGGATACAATTGTAGAAGGTAATTGATGTAGAACATGTGTAAGACATTACATCATACATACAGTGAAAAAGACACTTTTTGGTTGTAGTACATCCTGCATGTACATATCGGCAGCATTTTACTTGCGACAGTAACTCCTAGTTTAAATGATAAAGGTCTGCATGATTTTGAAAAAAGAATGATTATTAGCATATTGCTATGGCCCTGGATAGAGTTTAAATCAGACAAAACAGGACAATATATTGGGCTTCAACAGCCAATTTGCTACGGCGCATGATTGCATGAACAACGCGATTAAGTAAAGATTACAAAACTCATTATTGTGTTAAATGATGACTGAAAATGAGATGGGATTCTAAAGAACGTTCTCGATCGTTTACTGATATTTTTGTGTGTGTTTTTGACGTTGTTAAGATTAATATGCAACGTGCAAAAAATATAGGGTAGGGGGGGGCTCACCCCCCCCCCCCAAGTCAACATGAAATTTTAACAAGGGGGGCTCCGCCCCCTGAGCCCCCCTCCACTACACCACTGTAATGCCGTGCGCAATGCGGTGAGCTCTGGAGCGCGAACTCGAGTCCAAAAAAGTGAAGCCAGCTTCGTGTTAATTAACCGCGCAGGCATGCTAGGCAAAAACAATAGAAAGGAATTGGAACTGACGTCTTATGCTGATGCAGGTCCTATATCTCTTCAATTTCCGCCATCTTGGCAAGGAATGTTCCGCATTTTCGTATTTTGTCTTCGATTTAAAGACTAATCATTCTAATATTATGATTTACGGTCCGTTAGGAAAAAAAAACTGGATTTAGCTTGGAAAATGGTATAAAAACTGTTTACGACCTTCAGAGCTATTGGATGGCTGGACACATTATTGCAGGACGTCAATGGCCGCCATCTTGACTTCGCCTTAATGAAAAAGATGGCGGCATGTCGATCTACCTACAATCCTTTGCGTGCAGCAAGCATAAATTCGCAAAAAAGAGTGACAAGAAAAACAGACAATGACATGAAACTTTAACAGATAGGAATAACTGACGTCTTGTCTTTTGTGTGTTATTTAAAAAACGTTTAACTGTTGTTTTAAATAATTTCGGACTGCAATGCATTGTGGGTAGATCGACAGCCGCCATCTTTTTTATTAAGGCGAATTGAAATCGTCGCTATATTACACCAAATAGCAGACTTTACGAAATCAATTCGCTGGTCGTCAACAATCTGTGCTGTAAAGCTGGAATTCGTTTTTCAAAAGCAACAAGGATTTCTTTGCACTTGCAAGGGTTTAGGGACATCATTGTTTTGCGAACGTCTAGTTAACCCTTGATGAGTTAACTCTTGATGACGTTTTGATGAGTTAAAAAGATTTCGATTTTAGTTTAACTCTTGAGCAGGAGTTTATTACGTAATTTATAATAAACGAGGGAGCGTTTATTATCGAAAAGTGTGCCTCAAAAACGTGGCGCTGTCTAGCCGAGTTTGTTTGTATTACCATCAGGGCAAATGGTATCAAGACAACGATGCTGTCAGGCACTTTTTCTTTGCTTTCTTCTTTGCACGACTTTGTTTTCCTTTGCGCGAATTGTTTTGCTCCCCCCCCCGTTTTTCTAATGGTCCGCCCCTTAGGGCCGGACCATTAGATTTTTGATGGGGGGGGGGTTGTGCATTTTCCACACTGCTCGATATTTTTTTTTCGTCCTTCAGACAAGCAGGATATTTTTTTATTACCTCTGTGTCCTTGCACGATATTTTTTTTCTCTCAACTTTCAAAATCAATATAATCATTATATGTATTAAATATGCATATTTTAATATGCATACTTCAAAACTGTAATAATATATAAAAATAATAAAATGCTAAATTCATCAATTGGACATTTTAAACAGTGAATTTTCAAATATTTGTTATTAAAATTGATGTTTGATGTCTGGGGTTGTTGATCTTCCTGTTGAATTAGAAGTAGAAGGCAAGGAGAATCAATTGAAAGCATTTCTTAAAAAATTATCACTCGAAGACAAGTTTAAGAATTTCCAATCAAACGGTTTGAGTCAAATTGAACACCTACAGGATATTCATGAAAAGGATGTTGACATGTTAGGTTTGACAGTATTTGAATGGAGACGACTTCAACGTGAGATCACTACTTGGAAAAGTGAAGAAGAAAGTGCGAAAATTGGTAATGCCAAAACAAGTGTTGCTGCATTCAAAACATCTTCGGCATGTGCATAGGCGTACCGGGCGGGGGGCGGTAGCCCCCCCCCCCAGTTTTTTGGGCAGTCGGGCAATATTCGATGAACAGTCGGGCAAATTTGGTTTGTGATAAAAATAAATGGGACAAATTCTGTCAATTGTGTCGAAAATTCAGTCAATTTTGTGACCAATGTAGTGTTTTTTGGAAAATTTGTGTGGAAAATCTGCAGTCATATCCTTGCCCAACTCTTTGAGTAATTTCTTTGGGACTCGAGATGGACAAGGGAACATAGTCGTCTCTATTGAATCCTTAAAGAGAAAGTACAAGGCTCTATGGTATGAGAATCCTGTCAATCCAACTCAAATATTCTCCAACTCATTTATTCTACAAATGGCAGAACAACGGATGCAATTTGAGAAGACCCTCCGTAGCTGTGAATTATGGTGCAGAAAACAAAGGTCAACACGAATTTCTTTTTTGCTGGCATTGGCAAAAACACCTGTGATTTCAACGTGGAATCAATACTACAAGTCGCAAAGTATTATGGGAAAGTGTGAAATATTAGAAAGACAACACCCTGCAGTAGCATCATTTTTGGAAAACAGAGTCAGAGAGGAATCATCCAATGTGCCATCAAAAGCCATGTATGAAAATATCTGCCAGTATGTTGCAAAACTTGAAGAGGTCAGCACCTTTTCAACCAATACCCTACAGAAGTGAGATACTGAGATGGCTAAATGCAGCCCTGCTGGAGTACCCAAAAAAGGTACAGTACGTAGTTTCCACTTTTCAGAAGAGATGATAGTATTTTTATAGTAGAAAATAGACCTATATTAACACACAAATTGGAAATGTTAGCCATATAGGTTAATACATTTATACGTTAATCTCGAATCAGGACTTGGGGTGGGGAGAAAAATTTAAAATTGGCTTCTGAACTTTAATAGTTGCTTTATATGCACTTTAATATAGGTTACAAGGATGAGTTGGATTTCCTATCAAAGAATATAAGACCTCGACTTATTGAGATCGACACTTCCATCAAAGAAAAGGCACAACAGGCTCGTGAGTGCATGGATGCAGCCAGAGAGAAGCATGTGTATTCAATTGTGTACAAAAGTGCAAAGCGGAAAAGAAAAAGTTGAAAATCAAGTATGTCCGCACGTGCAAGTCAAGCCAAGGATGGTGATTATAAAACAACTACACTGATTAATTAAATCAGTGATTCAGATTCAGAATCAATGTCAGAGGAGCAAGATTGAAAAACTGTTTGATATATACATTTGTTAATTGTTTTGTTTGTATTCTTGATTCCTATATTAATATATAAACAACTATATGCATGTTCATATATTTATCTACTATTGTTGTTGCTATTTTAAAGTTGTTGTTGGTATATAAAATGAAAAATTATGTCTTTTGATAATAACAGAGTATATATATTTAATATAAAAAATATTATATTCGAGCTATTCTGATATCCTCACAAAAACGTTTTAATTGTAGTAGCCAAATTTTAAAATTTTCAAAATTTTATACCCCATTCTGCTCGCACACTGTACGCTTTATTTCTTTGCACATGATAGGGGATCCATGCATGAGTTCCTGAAAATTGTGCATGTGTCATGTGACAATATACCACTAGAGATTTGAGGAAATTTTAAAAATATTAAAAGCCAAAAAGCCAGCATCTTCTCTCTGATGCCCACACTCTAGATTTCAGCGGTAATCTTTGCCAAAGCCAGGTTTGCAACCACGTCTAGCGCATTTCACATATTTTTATATGACTCTTCTATTATTTAAAGTCTTTTATTAAAGTCTTTCAAATTGTTATAAAAATAATATTTAATTAAAAGGTTATATACTATGGATTCAGGTTAATTTCTTCAAAAGCCTCTGCGGAGGAGAGACTTCTGACAATCACGAGGGTGGAAACTTGTATGGTGTGCTCGATATTTTTTTCGTGCGCATTTGTCCTGTTCGATATTTTTTCGTACCAATAAGTGCTTGCTCGATATTTTTTTTGGATTTACACAACCCCCCATCAAATATCTAATGGTCCGGCCCTTAGTGTGAACAGAAGAGTCCCGAAACACGTTCTAATTAATGGGAAAACCGAAAACGTCATTGTATTACGCCTGTATTCTAAAAGCTCACTCACGCTCACACTGAAAGAGTGGATGTTCAATTTGAGCTTTCCTTGAGTGCCAATGCCGTTTTTGAATCGCTGGAGGGTGAGTAGTCACATAGTAAGGTATGACACAAACCTCCAGCTTTTCGAAAACAGCATTGACACTCAAGGGAAGTTCAGATTGAAACTCCACTCTTTGAGTGTGACCGTGAGTGAGCTTTTAGAATACAGGCTTTACGCCCGTTAAAGCTCACTCACACTCAATGAGTGGAAATTCAATCTGAGCTCAGCTTGAGTGTCAATGCTGTTTTTGAATAGCTGAAGGGTGAGTAGTCTCATAGTAAGGTACAACACTAACCCTCCAGCTATTCAAAAACAGCAATGACACTCAGATTGAACTTCCACTCATTGAGTGTGAATGAGCTTTTTGAATACGGGCCGTTAGACGTGATATTACCCCAAACGAAGTCTCAGGATATTGCCCACAGACACTCAACGTGATTCGGGTATGTCCTTATTATTTGTCTTATATTTACCGTACGAAACTTTTTACATGTTATATAGCATACTTTGGACCGGAAAAAGTTTGACTTAGAAATTACACAAATATACACATTTTATTTTCATTCAACCATCATTATTATGTAATTGCTTTCCATGATCAATATACAAATAACCAAATTTAACACTCAAATAGTCTTATGGATTACCAATATTATTATGGTCAATTCATTATTGAACTTCAGTTTGTGACATAGTAGTTTACTGCCTTTAACGCTGCTTCGACCAGAGCTGGATAGTTTGGTGTTCCGCATCCAGTCACAGGATCCCAGCCTTCTAAAGCGTAGAACCCGCGATCGGGCTCACCACAACCTTCATTATACCCAGTGGTTGGATCATACAAGGATTTTGCATTGGAATACAGGAACGGATTCAAAAATCCCATGGGAGGTTTATTATTCTGCAAGCGCATGTCATTAACAAGACCAATGATTCCTGCAACAGTAGGAGTAGATGCTGAAGTACCCATCACCCCTGGCACTGGTACGAGGTTGTTCACAATCCAGAAATGATTGCATACAGCTGAGATATCTGGGTAGCCACGTCCTGTGTTGTTATACAATGATGCATTGGGTAATTTTTTAGAATTTTGTAGGTAGTAATTAACGGCTGATGCTTGATAACTGGGTCGTTTGAATACATTACTGAAACCACCCCCGCTGATCTCATAACCATATTCGCCGTCAATGCCAAATGGATTGTTAAACGCCGTTCCACCAACTGCAGTTACGTAAGGACTTGAACATGGAAAGTTTGGACGGAATTTTTTCTTGTGGCAGCCAGCTCCGTTATCTCCACTTGCAAAGAGAATGGTGATGCCCCGTACTCCAGCTTTCATAAAATCAACATTAATACGGTTCATGTAATCAGCGGACAACGAGTCTTCATTATCGCCATAACTAACACTGAAGATATACGGGATGTCACTCGTGTTTCCTACAGCAACAATCCATTCAAGGAACGGTTCTTGACTCTCATGTCTTCCTGCCGTACTCCAGAACCACGTAGCAATGTTCGCGCCTAGGCTCATGATGTATTGTACATCAAGACTAGCCTCGATCCCAGATCGTCCACTGTCTGGACCCACAACTTTAGTGATGTCAGGAAGATGCGTAAATCCACCACCAAATAAGGCGAAGAATTCTTTCAAGTCAGTGGAACTGTAGTATTGTTCCAAGAATTGCGCAACAGCCTGACTATTGTTGGGATGCTTACCGACTGTATCTGAAACATTATACCGCGTGCGCAGTACAGACGGATACACGCCAATATGAATACCTATATCAGCCGAAGAAGATTGTACTTTGGTTTTTGCAAAATCCAATGCAGGAAAGCGCAGCAAGCCACCAACAAAGTCCAAATGCTTCGCGACCTCTTTTGGAACAGTATAGTGTGCATTGGAACGAATCACGGATTTTCCTGATCCTTCATGATGAAAGCGGTAGAACCTAGCTCCACTCAGTAAGATTTCGGCAATCGCTGATGTTGTTTCACAAACAATGTAGTCAGACTTCCTAGTTTCGTCACAGTTCCGACTATCCACACCACCCTGTTGCAACCATGATTTTACGACACGAATAGATTCATCTCTTGGCTTTACCAGATCGCTCACTGTCTCGAGATCTAGATACCGTCCATACGCTTTGGATTTCGGCTCGGAGACACTCCAGAAAATTTTCTCAAGTTTCGCAATATTTTGCTGTTTGATAGCAAATGTGAGACGGACTCGGTCGTGGGAAAAAACTCGCTGCGTTAATTTCCAACCCTCAGATTTCCAGTGCTCAACGTCATGGCCGGTTTCTAAAAACACTCGTTCATCCTTTGAAAATGGAATAGCGATAATTTCAGGCAGAAAAATCGCCCAAACGAAGAAAGATATACTTGATTGCATTGTTTGACCTCCGATTCTGAAATTATTGCGCCAGGTATATTAAACATCACATGATATCATTTGTTATATGACACTGAAGGTCAACATATATTTTGTAAATTTCGACTTCCGTACTGATTTATCTCCGCTGATCTCAGATATGTAAATATACAAAAATATTATACTCTGAAACACCTGATGACAACCTGATTCATTTTAAATGACGTTCGTAAAGTTTTCGTTAATTTTTTTGTATATTTGTACTCGTGTGAAAACACGGTGAGATTGTGAGAACTGAGAACTATTATAATATTTGCGAGTCGGCTTGGAATAAAAAGTAATAGTTATAGCAATTTTGCTAAAATTACTGAAAAAGTTACGTTAGGAAATTATGATATGTCCGGAAAAATTTTTGTATGTCCGGAAATGTCTCCCACCCCCCGCTCGCCAACAATTTTGGGGAAAAATAGTAGGGACTGCAATGTTTGTCGGCAAATGCTACACTACACCCCCTCCCCTCCCCTCCCTTCTTTATCCTCTTCAACGGCCCCGCATGAACCACCAGAATTTTTTTATTCTAGGTTCTCCTAAAAACGAATTTCTAGTGCATTTTAAGTGTGGTGTCCGTAAAAATCCGAAAAGTCCAAAGGCAAAGTCTGTAAAAGTCCCAAAAATCACGAATGTATACTTCAGCCTTGACAACTACTGTATTTACTCGTTTGAGCGCCGCGGCGCTCTTTAAATTTTCAGACTTCAGAGCTTCAGATGCGGCGCTCATTCGGGGGCGGCGAGTAAATACGGTATACAAAGAATATGACGGAAGTCACGGAACCTATACTTAATCAGTGAAATTTTATAATCCTCAGTAAATATGGATTCTGAAAATAATAAGAAAATATTGCTTTATTACTGAGAAAAGATCTCCAAAAGTCCGACAAAATTAGTCTCAAAGAATCCAATCGAAATTAGAGTCGAAAAGTCTCATGCACTGTTCTAAGAGTGATTTACCCCTCTTGTCAATGTAACAGATGGATTTAGGCATTAGCCATTTATACTTGAAGAATGACCGATGATTAATAATCGATAAGACTACAGGGTACAGCACGAAATCATCACTTGCCCCAAGTCTGAGAGGTACACACGCAAAAATCTCACATCTTGCAGTCTGCCAACAAGCAGTCAACAAGTTGTGTTCGCACTCGGCTTGTCCCAAGTTGTCAACAAAGTTTGGAACAATTAGCTGTTAACAACTTGTAACAAGCTTGATGGCATTATATCAGGTTTCAGGTTGCAAGGTTATTCCAACAAGTTTGATACCGTCATGATATAATATTATTATAACCTATAGTTGTGTCGTCAACCTTGTAACATTCTTGTTATATCATGACTGTATCAGACTTGTTAGAACAACCTTGTAACAAGTCTGATAATGCCATCAAGCTTGTTATAAGTTGTTAACGGCTTGTTCCAAACTTGTTATATATATATATATATATTATAGATCTGGATATATCCTGTTCGTCCCTATAAAATTGACGAGTCTGCTGTGCAACACAACTTGTGAACAGCTTGTGACTAGATTTGTAACAACTCATGCGTTTTCACGCGTGTAGACTTACGTACGTCTACACGCGTAAAAATCTCACATTTTGTAGCAAGTCTGCCAACAAGCCGTCAATAAGTTGTGTTCGCCGACTGCTTGTGCCAAGTTGTCAACAAGTTTGGAATAAGCTGTTAACAATTTGTAACAACCTTGTTGATATTATCAGACTTGGTACAACTTACAAGGTTGTTCCAACAAGTCCGACACAGTCATGATATAGCAGTATTGTTACAACCTCGTGTCGTCAATCTTGTAACATTCTTGTGAACCTACGACCTTTGGAATACTAGCCCAATTCTCTGCCAACTGCGCTACGCGGTCAGGTTGGTTCGAGTATGTGATATTTTGGAACAGAATCTAGTCCTTCGATATCAATGTAATCTAGTAATTATGATTTTTTTTCTGTGTTGGTGCAATGTACTCAGGTGAACTGATGTTTGTGATGTTACTCTGAGTGTTGTATATCCACACCGGGCAAGCTTGAAAAATATGCCTGGCCACGGTGGGAAATTGGGAATCTGTGTTGGTGACTGAACTCATGATTACTAGATTACATTGATATCGAAGGAACTAGATCATAGACTAGATTTTGTTCCGAAATATCGTATACTCGAACCACGGTTTATAATAGACTTAGGTCTATTAACCGGGTTGAACCGACCTAGCTGACCGCGTAGCTCGGTTGACAGAGCGTTGGGCTAGTGTTCCAGGGGTCGTGCGTAGGTTCGATTCTCACCGTGGCCAGGCATATTTTTCAAGCTTGCCTGGTGCCATATTCACCTGAGTACATTACACCAACACAGAGAAATCAAGTCTGATAATGCCATCAAGTTTGTGTCAAGTTGTTGACAGCTCGTTCCAAACTTGTTACAACAACTGGAAACAAGCAGTGCGAAGACAATTTGTCAACAGCTTGTGAACAAATTTGTAACAACTTGTTTGCAGACTTGTGACAACTTGTGCGTTTTTACGTGTGTAGAATAATAATGCCACTTGTTCAATTCGTGCCCCAAAGACCTCGTTTTGATGTGGCCTCGTTTTGATCTTGAATATCAGTGATACCCATAGGTGATACCACCAGATATATGAACTCACCCGCATTGAGTGGGTGACACCCGCATTTTGGAATCATCACACGCGGAAAAATTGGCACATAAAATCACCCGCATTAGCAAATTTTACAGCAATTCACCCGCATTCTGTGATTCTGTCTTCTGATTCTTGATTCGTTGTTCTGTTTTTGGTTGATAGAGTGTATGCGTGCGCACATCTACTTCTACTTCAACTAGACTTAACTCTTAAGACGTTTGTATACATCTGTTTTGTCATAAACAAGAATATAAATATCTATGGAAGTTAGAAATATGGGGCTTAGCAAGGCTTTTATAAACCACCAATCAATTTTCTCAACAACAAAAAATGACGTCATGTCAAAAATTATATATCACACCGCATTTTTGTTACTTAGGGTTCACATCTCTGTACCACTATAACCACAACTTTGCAAAACACTACGAAAACGTAATATTAAAGAATCTAGTATTGAAGTTCTTACTCCAGATTGCTCCAGATAGTATATAGCTCACTGGCCCAACTGGAAACGAGGTGAACACCAAAATGGCGGCTTCATGATTCTGATTCATGAAGGTATATTACAAATTTACAATTTTTCAATATTACATGTAAACATGGCACGTTTTAAAACGAAAAGCATAGATAAATCTACGGAACTAAATAAAAAGATAGATATGTCACTCGGTAAGTAGTAAGTACTGTCTTAATATAACATAAATCTGACAGACATTCCAAGTTTAGCACTGGAGGTTATTAACATTTATAGGACTACAAGTTTAGCTAGTACGTACTTTAGTAGTTCGTCGATCAGTGTGTTGAAAATTATCTAGTTCTTCTGGGTAAAATAGTAAAAATTAAGTCTTCTGAAATGGCATTTTCTGCATTTGGGGAATATGTTGTTATATAAAGTGATCCTATAAATTGCCGTATTAAGTAACTTCATAAAAAGGTCAATCTTGACTGACTATTAATACATTTAAGCCCCGTTTACACTACGCTCAATTTTTGGTACGGCACGGATAAAATTTGTACCCGTACCACCTTTTTGGTTCTTGGTCCAAGAACCAAAAAGTGGTACGGTACCAAAAACTGAGTGTAGTGTAAATGAGGCTTAGCTAAATAGGTAGTCCAAGAACCAAAAAAGTGGTACGGGTACCAATTTTATCCGTTCCGTACCAAAAATTGAGCGTAGTGTAAACGGGGCTTTATATTGCTAAAAACCAGAGGCTAAAAACCGTATGTTAATGATTTTTTAACTATATTTCCTGAATATTCAGGAGATTGCATGAATTTTCAGGAGACTCCCAGGAAAATCAGGAGAGTTGGAATTTCTGAAATCATGCATAAATGCATTGTCTGATTTTTAACACATTGAGTGGCAGCATCTTCCATCCTGATCCTTCCCTGGACAAGTAAAATAGTCTGGTGTTAGAAAGAGTAAAATAATAAAGATTGGGATTCAGGTAATTTCCCACCAAAATGTGTATTTTAATTGCAAGGCCACTGCATGTACTGTATTTACTGAGCTGAACAGCAACTCTGACTAGTAAGCTGAAGTTGCTAAACTGCAGCCATATACTTTTACTCTCAAATCCTTTGGGCTTTAACCCTTTAAGGTGCATTTTCACTTAAAGGGTTAAAGCCCGAAGGATTTGTGAGTAAACGTATATGGCTGTAGTTCAGCAACTTCAGCTTACTGGTCAGTGTGTAAGTTGCTGTTCAGCTGGTAAATACATGCAGTGACCTTGCATGTAATTAAAATACACATTTTGGTGGGAAATCGTGATCATTAGTAATGCAAATGGTCCATTGTCCCTCAATAAGGCAAAAATTGACCGCCCGATTCTGATACCAATTATCGTCAATCACTAAAAATTGGATTGGAAAACAGGACGTTATATTGGAAATTGGCCCAAATTCCATTTGGAACCAATTGTAAACCATTCGGAACCAATTGGAATTCCAATAGGGATTTAAGTTCTCTAATAGGAATTTTTAAAGTTTTCCATGGACTTTGGACAGAAGAAACCATTCCAAATGGCCTAAATTCCAATTGAGTTATAAATCCAAATGGAATTCCAATTGTATTTTTTGTATGGATCGAGTTATCAGAGAAAAACTTTGTTGTGCAAAAGCAAATTTAGCAGTCAGTTACAGTAGCGAGCTGACCACAACTTTACAGTACAGTGCAGCTACAGTAGTACACATTGATCATACTCTCACTATCAGTATTCCTTTGGGAAACATCATTGGGGATTGGACTTAACCCACCTATGGGGGCAGGCAAAAGTAAAACCAGTGGTGCCTAAATTACTTGTACTCGAGTAAAAGTAGAAGTAATTAACAATAAAACGACTTAAGTAAGGGTAAAAAGTACTGGAAGCAAAACGTACTTAAGTATTAAAAAGTACAAAGTAGTCTTAAAAAATATTTGAAGTACAAAGTAAAAGTAAAAGTACTATTGTCTGTAGCATGTAGAGGGGGAACTTCTCCAATGGATTGACATACAAAAGACACAAAACAGCACATTATATGTGTGCACCGAATATACAATATTTCACGGCATGGTCTACTTTCCAGACCCCCATCGAAGATATAAGAAATCATTAAATAAATAATGCTTATAAGTAAGTCACAAACGAGAGATCCCAGACGCATGTAGAGGTCGTATTACCTATCCCGAAATTGAAATAAATCAGAAGTAAATCACTTAAAATTAAACAAAAGTTAGAAGGTAACGAAATGAAAATAACGAAGTAAAACGTCACTTCTTAAAACGACTTCGTTCCAAGTAAAAGTACTCCAGAAAAAGTTTACTTTGTTACATGCTGACTCTCTAAAATTGTACTCAAGTACAGTAACGAAATACAATTACTTTGTTACTTGATACCACTGGGCAAAACAAGTAAAAACTCCATTAACAACCCAATCTTTGTAAATATTGTACATGCAGGGCTGCAAATTACTGTCGGACATCAGACAATGTCCGACTAAATTTGGCAAATGTCCGAGCAAAAGTAATTTTGATCGGACATTGGTCAGATCACAAAAAAAAATTGTCACATTATACATTTTTTTGAATAATCCTGTTGAAATTCACTCAATTTGCATTTTGCAATAAAATTTACAAGGCATTCTAGCATTTCCCTTACAAAACCAAATTATATGGGACATATATGGACCAACTATGGGATTGATATGGTTCAACCTATGGGCCATATATGGAAGTTATATGGCTTTGGTATGGCCTGGTTGCCTTCATAGCATACCCATATCATGTTTTTGATATGGGTTTGATACGTATTTGGTACAAATCCATACATATCCCATATCACTTACTATGGGAAATACATGGGTTCCTTATATCATTTCAGAACAACTTTGCTATGGGTAAGATAGGATTCTATATGGGAATGATCTGGGAACATGATATGGAATTCATATGGTTCTTGATGTATAAACTATGGGATTGATATGGTTCAACCTATGGGCCATATATGGAAGTTATATGGCTTTGGTATGGCCTGGTTGCCTTCATAGCATACCCATATCATGTTTTTGATATGGGTTTGATACGTATTTGGTACAAATCCATACATATCCCATATCACTTACTATGGGAAATACACGGGTTCCTTATACCATTTCATGACAACTTTGCTATGGGAATGATAGGATTCTATATGGAAATGATCTGGGAACATGATATGGAATTCATATGGTTCTTGATGTATATAAACTATGGGATTGGTATGGGTGCAACAATTATCATATTATACTGGGAATGGTATGGGCACTTGTTTTTCATCCCATACCAAACCCATGTTAACATCTAACATCCAAATGCTAGATGTTAACACATTGTGGGTTTGGTACGGGATGAAAACAAGTGGCCACCATTCCCAATATACTTGCTGCAGCTCAAGAAAATTGTACTGGCTGGCATACATAGTTTTACTAACATGCAAAAAATCTTCAAAAACACAATACACAAATAAATAACATAGTTAATAAATAAACAAATTACAAAATTGTTAACTAATTTACTATTTCTTAATGAACTTGCAAAGTTTGTCTAACTAAATTACCATGGTATAACTATATATACAAACATGCGATAATGTCAAGTACTAAGTGCTTATTGATCTATATAAATGCATCGATATCTATAATGTCCTCAGTCCTCTCAACTTGTGGGCCTGACTACAGACTATTCAAACTCTTTGCATACGCCTGGCCTCCACGTCACTTTTCATGTTTATTTTTTGTATCACCTGACTTGGTGTAGGGCCTTCTTTAGAAAATCTTGCAGAGCAATATGCCCACTGGTGTCAATAGCAGAACATCTTCTACAACCTCTATCATCTGCAGGACAAAATAATTCAAACGTCAATATTTTGCCAGATCTGACAAAAATGATTGTACTGACAGAAAATTTATACCCTATATTCTGCAGCCAAATTTTCACCAAGCATTTTTGCATCAAATTTAATATTTTACTCTGTCTAACGGAAGACAAATTTACTCTGTCAAATGCCAAATCGTTATGTTTTATTATATGTCTAATTACAGACAATTTTATTTGTTAAGTGGAGAGTCTGGCACATTAATGGAATAAATATTTAATAAAATAACAAAGTACTAAAAGTAGGGCACATTGCTTTTAAATGTTCCAACACAACAGCTTTTGCAGTTAATATTAAGTATTAATAACCTTTCAATAACCAACACTTCTTATCTTGATGAGTAAAATCATCTGATAATTAACTATCAAAGTACTGAAAGTGGGGAGTGTTAGGATGAATTGCATCTAAATGTGTTAACAACAAACAATGCAAAATAGTCTGGTGTTAGACAGGCCAAAATATTGAGCTTTGAAAAAGAGCAGATTAGTGTGAATTGGGTCTTAATGAGTTTACACATAACACATAGGGACAGCAAGAAAACCTATCAAAGTTGTCCACTCTCTTTCACAAGTAAAATATTTGATCTGGTGTTAGACAAGGTAAAATAAAAAAGTACTGAAGGTTGAGCATATTCATCTTTATAATGAGTTAGTGTGAAATGTAAGATAAGTAGAGATCGAGTCTTGTTAACTTGAATATACCATCCACATAGTTAAATGTTAATTTCATAGAAAAACATGGAGAATTTTCCTGGCACACCTCTCCCAATGAAATATCAAATTTTAATTTGAACAATAACATATGAATAAATATTAGAATCTTAGAAAGGTTGCTGCTGATTTGAGCAAGTAGATAAATTTTCAAACTAACATGTAATATGAGCATATAGTATATATGTAATAGGCATGCTTAATGTCTGCAATTAATCTTGCATATACAGTTGGCATATACAAAGATATTAACCAATAAACATGGATAAGTCTAATTCAAATATAAAACTCTTATAGTAGCATTTATTGAAGTATAAATGCCAGCTATAAATATATTTATATCAGCGTTCTAATCATTATTGTCGCGGCAAATTCAAATTTTAAACCGATCGAAACACATGCTCGAATTTCACGAATGAAGATTGGACAAGGTATTCCTTTATGATTTGCTTTATTATAAACAAAATATAAACATATTCTTACCTGAACATTATACAAACATTGCTGATGTATTACTAGTGAAAATCCAGTTGAATCTCATCAAAAATAGTTCTATTTTGATCATAAAGCATTCACAAACGAAAAAATAAAAAATATCGGAGGTGTGATGACCTATCCCAATATGCTTTGTGCGAGTGGCAAAAAACTAGACACCAGTCTTTCGGTCGCGCACATTGCGGTAATTATTCATTTAATTAAGTTAGAAAATAAATTTATGAACCTTATTTATTTTCCAATCCTATAGAAATTCCTATTGGAATTTTTATTTCCTATATGTATATATATAGGAATTTCTTTTTCCTAAAGGAATTTTTTTCACCATTTTCAAATCTTACATGAATTCCTATAGGAACTTTCAAATCCTATAGGAATTTCATTTCCTATAGGAATTCCTATAGAAAATTTCGTAAGGGTTGGCATAGCATTGCCATAGAAATCATATGTATGGATTCTCTATGGGAGGCCAGAACCACACCAAGTTCAGACTACCATATAATTCCCATAGATATGGGAACTATATGGGACAACAAACTGTGCACTACCATATAATTCCCATAGATGTGAGAAGCATGGGACAACCAAGTGTGGACTACCATATAATTCCCATAGGTATGGAAAGTATATGGCAACCAAGTGTAGACTACCATATAATTCCCATAGATATGGAAAGTATATGGGACAACGAAGTGTGGACTACCATATAATTCCCATAGAATTGGTCATATGTAAAAATGTGCCATTGATATGGATTACCTATGGACCAAGTAACCCCACAGATTTTCCATAGGATTAATAACAATGTGTTTGTTTCCATAGCTTTTCCATATCTCGATACTTAACAAATTTAGACACCATACCAATCCCATATGATATCTATACTGTCCCATATCATTCCCACATATGGGTCATATATGGCCCAAACTTTGCCATATCTTTCCCATACTTTTGCTTTGGTAAGGGTATATTCGCCAAAACATACAGACCTCGAAATAGTGGTGGATGATGTTTTGATTGCTAGAAAAGATTTTCAATTTTCTTTGGCAGAAAGTTTTAAAATTTCTTTAAAAAAAATATCCATAAAAATCAACAAAAAGGTTAAAAAATTTCCCATTCTAAAGAAATTTTCTTAGAACTAAAAACGCTGATATAAGTGATATCACCTGATGCACAATCGGTCTCGAAAAAGTTTTTTTCACTTGAGCATACATAAAAAATATTCCTTGAAACTTAAATTTCTTTATCACACAACTTGCAAATGACAAATTAGGTAGTAATGAATGCTTATAAGTTATAAGTACAACTGTAATAAGCTATTACACAATATAAGCATTTATTACAATTTAATTTGATCAATATTCTATGAAGACCTAAGTTGCTAACATTAGTAACATAGAATTAATTAATATTATCCAATATCCAATTTATTGATTAATTGAATAGGTTTTGTTAACAGTGAAGGCTGTGAAGCACAGTTAATGCTAAGTATTAAACCAACATAGCCATAGGACTCTCTACCGAACCAATTGGATGTGCAAGAACTTTATACGATATAACTTTTCATGTATTCACTTTTGTTAGTTTGATATTTTTATTCTTTTATTTTATTTTTTATCAGGGCTCCACTGAAAATCACTTTCGTGAGTGGACCCCCTGACTAAATATTGTAATTATTATTATTATTATTAACTAAATTTTATGAGAGTTTTCAAATAAAATGCCCCACCTAAATTTGATAACAGTGTGTTCAAAGAAAATCCCCCCCCCCCGGCTAGGATCCAAGAAAGGCTAGAATTATTTCCAGATCTGAAAACATATGAACAAAACTCAGCTCGCTTAGGCAAGCTAGCCCCAAACTGCCTAGATGAAATCCTAGATTTACAAAGTGAGATCTTGCCTAGACGAGCTTGGCCGGTTCCCATACAAACGCAAAATTAAATTAGTACAAATTACATAGGTATGTTTTAAATCCCAGCAAAGCAACCTGGCCCGGGTACCTACACTGGCTTGCTTCCATATAGCCTGCGAACAGGCTCTCTTTGAACTCTCTTTGAAATTTGAGAGAGAGCCTGCAGGCTAGCTAATAAAAACGCGTCTGTGCGTTGCTTAGAACGACGCAGGATTTCCATTGGTTGAAATTGAATTAACGACATTATACTGCCATAAAAGGTAATTAAATTTACACAACAATGGATTCAAATCGAAAATATCATTCTATAGCGACAAGTTGTATAGAAAACTAAATCTTTGTTTAAAGTTAAAGGATGGACAGTCAAAAGCTCTTAATAATATTCTAGACGGAAACGATGTTTTAGCTGTACTATATAAGAGAGTTTGGCAAATACAACGGCAATGTTCTTATATCAACAATAGCATCTTTACTCTAAGATAAAGGCGACTATAATTTGCATTCTAGTACGCCGTAGTTGTTCAAACTCAAGTCGTTGCGGTGTTTATGTGAATTCACAATTACTATTGCTACTTCAGAAAATTTCAGGGTTGTTTTAATGTTGTTGTAAGTGCGTTGAAATCAAGATATGCGTTTTGTTTATACTCGCAGGCTATTACATAAGGCATGTCTGTATTAATTTGTCACATTGTATTTTACATTTGATTGACAACACTATAAATAGTGATGGGCACAGACGCATTTTTATTGACTAAACCGGCAGGCTCTAATTCAATTCAAAGAGCCTGTTTGCAGGCTAGCTTCCATATAAACACCTTCTAAGACTAAAAACAAAACTTGAAGAAAATTTCGAACACCCACCCCTCCCCCCCTCCCCAGGACTTTTTAACATTGATAAATGCAAATAATATGTCAAGCAGTTATAAATAATATTATAAGTCTAAATAATTATATTTTCTCTTCCATATAAAAGCAACTGCTCAGTTGTTCACAAAAATTTATTTTAGCATTTTTATTAAATGTCGTGTATCAGTATATCATATTAAAATATAGATTTAATATAGGACCGGCAAAACACGAGGTCAAAAACTATATCTATAAATTCAACAAAATGAGGACCTATATCATAAGGAAAGCCTAGTTGATCGAAACCTAAATTCACTTCATAATGAAGAAGTAACCTTTAATTATTTATATATTTTCATAATTTATATGTAATCAAAAATATAAAAGAAACAAAGACACTTACCGGCCGTGGGCACGCCATTGTGATTTTATTTTGTTAGCGTGGGCTGCTTGGCGTGACGTCATCACGATGACAAAAACAGGGCATCGAGCCTGCGATTAAGCCGAACAATACATCTGCTCGCAGGTAGGCGAACGACGACGCGACGATCGTACACTCGGAACCACTTCGGTACATAACGCTATTTTTGCTTACATAAAGTATGTAAACATCTTGGCGGATTAATGAAAATTTTATATGACACCGGTCGTCTGTATTGAGATTAACATTTCCCATGTAATTTAAATCCGGTAAGTGTGTTATTTTGCATTTTCTGACGAATGTTGTATAAACTTCATAGTCTGCATTTTATACCTAGTCTGCGTATTCGGTCTGCAATTTATACTCATTCTGCACATTGTACCGAGTCTGCAGTCTGCAGTTTGCAGTCTGCAGTTTATACTGACCGTTAATAGTTACTGTAATCAGGGCAGAAATTAGCATTTGGTGGGATCTTTTGCACCAGAAAACACAGTAGAAATGCTTCAATTTTGTTCATAGTATTATGATTACAAACATTTACAATCAATGCTAAGATGACCCTTTCTGATAATATCTCTTTTGAATTTGTGCCCATTCGCAATGGGCCATTTCCAGAAAAATTATCACAGGACGAAAAAACATTTGATATATTTGCACTAACTTTGCAACCTGGTGCAAATGTGACAATGGCTGCGATTGCATCAAATTTGAAAGGTTGCAAATGTTTTATGAAAATACCCACTGGTTCGCTTGTACAAATGAAAAGTAGTTTGAGGCAAATTTATCCTATACCCTTTCTCTCTTAAAAAAATTGTATTGGTGAAAATATATTTGTCAAATTTGAACAGAATTTGCACAACAGCAAATTTGATACAACCATGGCCATTGCCACATTTGCATCGGGTTGCAAAGTTTGTGCAAATCTTTTTATATTCATGTATGGTTAATGTGTACCTATACAATTTGTAATCCTTATTGGTTTTCTCATTCTGTGCTTGAAGCATTGCATTTCAGAATTCTTATTGGCTGAAGATTAAGCTTCCTGATATCTTCATCTGAGACTGATCCCGCATGAACCGTGTGTGGTTTTCTTAAATTTGTCCATGGCGTTAGGTGGTTGATACATGAAGTGGTAGGGCAAAAATAGAAATTGGTCTCTACCACAAAGTTTTGTTCATATGGCACATAAAGCCCAGTTACAGTTAGACAAAGGTCCCATCTTTTTGTTCAGCCTGGCAGCCTCTGCACCGTGGAACTTGTCCTCTTTTTTTCTCCTTTCATTCAAGGTACCACATTTGCAGACTGCTGTTGCAAGGATCATTTTCCAAAAGGTTTGTTGTAATATCCTCCCTGCTTTGCCTCTGTTGGGTTGGAGTGTTGGCTTCATCCATAGCCTTCAATTGTTCAGGAATGTTAGCTGGGGTATTAGCTGTAATATGGCGAATTTCCTCGATGGTCAGGGATACCCGTTGTAAAATTTCACTACTCTCCTGAATACCACATCTGAATAGTAGTGTCCATAAAATGTGTTTGCATGCCTGTTTCCCGCGATATTTAAATAATCTTGACAGTCACATGAATGCTGACTACCAATATGAACTGTGTAATCTGTATATCTTGAAGTAGACAAGCCACATATAAGTCCAGGATTCTCTTGTCTTCGAACAGTCATTGATTTTACCTTTATCAAATTTCTTTCTTTTTTGCTCCCTCAAGGTGATCGAAAAACACTTTACTTCTTGACGATCTGTAGCGCCTCGGTCTGTTGTTTGTTGTTCTTTCACACGAGGTCGTTTCGCTAGCATTATGCTTGTCTGATGGCAAACTGAATGGCGCGGTGAGGGCAGTTGGCGATGCAGTTCTTTCGGTGTCTGTGATGTCTTCATGTGTAAGCTCCTGGCCAAGGGCATGAGCCCTTCTCACATTGTTCGAGGTTTTTTGAAGGGCTTTGTCTGCTAAAGAAGGACCTGTTCCACCTCGTGAATTTCCCACGTGAAAAGCTTTGTATTCGACTTTAACTGGTTGTTATCCCGAGCATCAGCGTGTGCAGCATCCAACAATGACATATTTCTGTGGTCCCGTTTAACCCAAGTTGCATGAATAACTTCAGCTAGGTTCATTTTTGGGCCACCACAAACACTAATGAAGGCAGGGAAAACAAATGCTCTTTTCTTGTGCCACCAATCGAGCCAAGTTGAAAGACTTTGATGTTCAGGACATTCGGCAATGAATGATTCCAAATCTTCTTTTGCTTTGTTATAGCTTATTGGGGATGGGGCTTGCAGGAGGCAATTGCATAAACTTTTAAAGTTGCTGCGGTCTTCATCACCAACCTTTCATGACTGATGATTACGACATTCTTTGAAGTGAAATTCACACAACTTAATTCGCCCAACAACATCCGGTCCGAAAACTCTCTTCAAGCCTTCAACGTTACTGCAAGCCATGTCTGTTATCCAACCACGAGGATTGAATTGGTAGTCGTTGTTGCCACTTTCCTTTTTCAAGATTTCACTGAAACATTCCCAAAACAACTGCACCATATCTGAATTTTCTCCATCACATTCCATTGTTGCCAATGGAATAAGTTTCTTAAGGACAGGATGATACACTGGCACTTAAAGAAACCAATCCTCTACATCATTTCACCTTTCCGTCGAAAAAACAAAACTCTTTGCTTAGTTTGTTTTCCAATATTGTGCAGTCCATATTTAGGGTGAATTGTGCTTTTAATTTACTTGATTTGAAAACATGGGAAGGCTTGCTTGGATTTCAACACTGGTCATTCATGGTGTACACGTAATATGGGTCTCTTTGATCAGCGTATTGTTTAAAATGGGGTACAGCTTCAAAATTATGACCGTGTGGTTGATTTGAATCCTTGATCTTTTGCTTTTGGTTAGAGAGCCATTTTTTATCCATAATATTTCTTGCAGTCTCTTTGATAGAATTCCAGTCTTTCCCTGGACAAAACAGAGAAATTATCAGTGATTATTTTTTGTGATTAACTAGTAATAATTTTGTGACGACAATTAAGTCCTTGCAGCAAAACTTTTGAACCAACTGAAAATAAATCACAGTGCAGAACCTACAGAGAGCTATTTTTATACCTTGCCTCATTTGTGAAACAATCAAATTGCTTTGGATTGTTGAGGGTGTGAGCTGTGGATTCATGAAATAATCGGCGCAAATAAAGATCGGAGCCTTTTCCGTTTCACGTTTCTCTAATGTTACTGTTACTTTGTTGCAGGGCGGATATGTACGGAATTAAGAAACATTTTAATTTTGGTTATATTATTATTATTATTATTATTTATTTTGCCCAATAAAAAGTTTACATAATTACAGTGCTATAATAACAACGTGAAGGGCTAGGGACCTTAGTGAAACCCTTTCAGGCTTTTTGGTAAGAGGTCCAGGACCTAGTTTTACAATGTTCATAAGAATATTTTTTATAGTCGAATAGAATATTTACAAGTAATGATTATAACATAACTAAGTATTAAGAAGAAGAAAAGTTTAATTTAACTAAAAATGATTTTTCTATATACAAGACATGAAGGCTTTGTGTTTTCTGATGCATATATATAAACATTATGCTTTTAATTTACTTGATTTGAAAACATGGGAAGGCTTGCTTGGATTTCCACTCTAGTCATTCATGGTGTACACGCAATATGGGTCTCTTTGATGTTAAATCTTGTTGTGGCAATTACATCATCTGCGTTAATAAATAAATGTTGGTGCCTCAAAATATTTATTTTTGCTAACAAAAATTACCTACATCGTTTGAAAACTTGCAATAAGTAAACAGAAAACATTTTAGCAACTAATACGATTATTGAACAGCTTTTTCCCTACTTTAGTACAAAGGTTAACTTACTAAGTAGACTTGGATCAAGTCCGTCTCAACAGAGTCTGAGTCCCGAAGCAACGCGCGAGACTGTGGAGGGAGGGAGGGAGAGACGGACTTGGCTCACCTGCAATGTTTCGAATCAGAATTATTATTTTGGCGGGAAATTATATTGAATAGGACAGGTGTTATTTTTAGCGGTTTTGTTGCAAATACGGAAGCCCGCAAGTGTCAGGGCAAAATTAAAAAACAAAGTCACTGCAAAATAAAGTTAACTAAGTCTAAGGCAATACATGACCAATTCTGAGACGCTATTATTAAAAACCTCAGTCAAACAGATTTGTCATTGACATTGTGATATTAACAAATTATCAAATATTTTAATGTTAATAAAAATACGTCTTTTATATAATTATAAGCCTTATATTTAAACACTTGTTCTGTTAAATCGTATCTATTATGGCGCGGTAGATTGGACAAATCGATGATTTGTGTAATAGATGATCATGTGCACATTTAATACGATGACTGTGCACGTTTAATATGATTACAGTGTACATTTAATATATGATAATGATACGCCTTTTATTTGATTAGGTACCTTTGATTTGATGATCGTACACCTTTGATTTGACAATTGTACACCTTTGATTTGATGATTGTACACCTTTGATTTGACGATCGTACACCTTTGATTTGACGATCGTACACCTTTGATTTGACGATCGTACGCCTTTGATTTGACGATAGTACGCCTTTGATTTGACGATCGTACGCCTTTGATTTGACGATTGTACACCTTTGATTTTGGCAAAATGGCGTCCCCAAAAGATATTTTGCGGGATTGTGCAAATAACATTTTGAGATGCATACAAGGTAAGCGATTATTAGTGTATTTGCTATCATTCAATTGTTTATGTGAAATTCTTTAAGGTCATGACTATTGTTTATACACAGAACAATTTTTAATGCAAATTGTTGTGCCGGAAAATTAAAATTCTGTGTTTATTATAAATATTTAATAATAATACACGTGTTTATACATTAACATTTGCATATTTAAAAGTCGTCATTCCGTGCAACATTAATTTTAGGGATTGTTTATTAGGTCATTTAGTGAAAAGTGAAACGTAATACTATGAACCTATACAGAAAGTCCTCTTTATTGTTTTCTGTACATAAATTCATCTCTATTGCACCTATACAAAATACTAACCCATTCATAGGCGTACGAGTCAAGGGGGGGGGGAGTTGCCCCCCCCCCAAATTTTGAAAACCCATGGAAATTCGGGCAAATGCTAGGAAAAATCAAGAAAATTTGGGCAGATTTATCAGAAAATATGTTAAAATCAGATTAATTCATTACAATTCTCCATAAAAATATAATTCGGGCAAACTTTCGACTGCCCCCCCCCCCCCGAAAAGATCAGTCCCGTTCTCCTATGAACCTATTCAGAAAGTCATCTCTATTGTTTTTTGCGTAAGGCCAAAAAAATATGTGGGTTTCCTATTTTTTCTTGTGGGATAGGTGGGGTAGTGTGGTAGGTAAATAAGTGGGGTAGGTCGGTTTTAACTTTTTGTTTAACTTTTTTTTAAATTTTCCTAACAACCGGACACCATTTTGTTTAATAAAAAAGTTTAGGGTTGGGATTTCGGCGTCCAAAAGCTAGGTAGGGTCAGGAAACCAGAAACCCACATATTTTTTTTTTACCTAAGCACTATTTGTCATCTATCCACCCTTCTGAGATCATGAAAGCAAACTTTTATTTAAACATGATAATTATTTCACTTCTGCATAGAGCCATGTACCAGTTCTTGTTATAATCATCCCCCAGGTCTCCTTCCCTGGGCTGAGACAATGCAGCAGATCATTTTACAGCCTGCTATAAATAAATGCTTTTGTTTAAATTTGTAAACTTGGCACAAACTTGTTTCAATCAACTTACTATTCATAGTATTATGTGATGGACTGGAACACTGGCTAGATCTGTACCTAGTAACCTGTAATACATACTTACAGATGCAATTTTTGGTATATTTTATAAACAACTATATAGGATTAGAAGATGGTAATGTTAATGAACTTCAAACAAAATTTTGCTCGTTTTCTATTGAATAAATGGCCACAATTAATTAATGCACTTGTCAATGGAAACCCCCACCTCACCCCGGGGAAACATGAGGCATAGACTAATGAAGGAAAAAGCCCCACCCACACATACATACACATACACATACACATACACATACACATACACATACACATACACATACACATACACATATATATACATATATATACATATATATACATATATATACATATATATACATATATATACATATATATATATATATATATATATATATATATATATATATATATATATATATATATATATATATATATATATATATATATATATATATATATATATATACATACATACATACATACATACATACATACATACATACATACATACATACATACATATAATATATATATATATATATATATACATACATATATATAATATATATATATATATATATATATATATATATATATATATATATATACACACATATATATATATATATATATATATATATATATATATATATATATATATATATATATATATATATATATATATATATATATATATATATATACATATTTTTATTTAAATGATTTCGCCCAGTAGTATTTACAAGTATAGTAATTATGTAAAATAAGTAATGTAAGACCTAGAGGTTTACTAGACACCTGTACAGGCTTTTGAATTAAGACCCCTAGTTGATAAAGAATTGATTAATTAAATTATTTACAGTCAAATGTTTAGAAGAAGAAAAATAATAAACGAGAAAAGTACAAAATAACTAATACCTATAATTCAAAAAAATATACTTAAAAATGTTTTTATATAGGAGAGTGATTATATTTACGATATATACAGCTCTCTGTTACAATAGAGATTTTTTTCAATTTGCTTTTGAAGACAATCGATGAATTGATTGATTTTAAATAGACAGCTTAAGATCTACGACGTCGACGCTAGCTAGGACGTCAGGGCTAAGCAGAGAACTGGGACTACATTAGGACGACATCCTAGTCCCAGTCTTCTGCATAGCCCTGATGTCCTAGCTGACGTCGACGTCGTAGATCTTAAGCTATCTAATGAGAGTCAAACTGATTCCAAAT